TGTTCCACATTGTGACGTTTCTGGTGTGCACGGGGTCTTTGAGCCTCAGGGCGTCGATTCACGGCCTCGTCATCAACACCATACATTCCTTGTGCACTTGCACGAGTCCACAATTTTCCGGTGGGTTCATTTGTACAGTACAGTAGTCCGTTTTTTTATTATAGTTGAATCTCGATAAATCGAACCTCACTAAGTAAACTTTTTTTTTTCAAGTTCTCGTCTGAATCGGAAAACGATGCATAAAAACCCTTTTTAACCCTAAGGCTTTCCTCTCAGACCTCTTCAACTGGAATTATTTGAGGCTTTTTGGGTCATCATTTTATTGGCACCGGAAAGAGAAAAGCTGTGAAAAATTAATTTGATGTGTTTTGAAAAGAAGTGAAAGACTACTGGGACAAATGAACCCCTGCTTCCATGTTCAGCATCCTGTCGACTCATTCAAGAAGCAATTTAATGCAGATAATATATTATAACTACTGTATTTACCATTTCCTGCAATTTTTCTATCTTTTCCACAACCTAAATGCTTGTTTCCTTAACTCGCATTTATTTTCTGGTCCCCTGAAATTCGACTTAGATGGGTTCGACGGTTGTTTTTTTTTGGTTGCATAAACCGAATTTGACCCTTTTTTGCCTCGAGGAGTGCACCTGAAATACAGAACATTAGTTGGAAGTCATCATGCAGTATTTTGCGTGGATTATGATGTTGAGAAATATTCAATAACTATTTAAACAATTTTAGGGTTACGTTTGGCTGGTTTAGTTTTGGTCGTTCCATCTTTCAACTGTTTTGGGACGCAGGCAACATTTTGCAGAACATTTTTTTAAAGGAATGTTTGAAGGGAAAAGAGCCTGAGTCTTTTATGTTGGTTGATCCATGAAGAATCTGTTTGTTTTTTTTTGGCAACGAACAGTAATTTTTTCAAATCTGTGGCACTTATTTATTAATCGAATAATGAATCAAAATTTCAACTCGATTTTCTTTTTTCAGAGGAGCGGAAGCGGGTGTTGAGGATGAGTTTGGACGAGTACTCCTTGGCCAAATTTTACAGTCTGTTCGGGATCTCAAAAGTGAAGAGTCCAGCTGTGATGGCATTCCGTTCGAGTTACAGGAACGCGGGGATCGGAGAACGTTTCGGGCCAGATCGGTCACTAGGTGGCTCTGCTCCCGACCGCGAAAAGATTTCCTTGCAATCGCTCGAAATCATCGCAGACTCTTTACTCGAAATCATGGAGGCAAGTTTCGCAGTTTTACGGGGTGAATGTACGATGGGGCCGCGACATACGGCCGATTCGACTTGGGGACACGTGAGAGTAAAAAAAAAAAAATTAAGGCTGAATATCTGGACAATGTCTCAAGATACGGACATTTTTACATTTCTAGAAAAATAGGATAATTTTATTTTTTCAAAATGTTTATATCTTTTTAACCAATTGAGCTGCTCATATTCACAAGAATTGAAAATGAGTTTCAACATAATTCACTCAAGTTCTTGACATAAAACCAAAACAGGCTAATTTTGATCTTATTTTTCCGATCATCTGTGTACAGATTAGAAAGATGTTTGCTTTTTCTTTGCTTTATGGGCTCCTTTTCATGCTAAAAGATTAGATTCTGTGTGGTTTTCTTCCGCACAGATATTTTCTGTATCTTGAATTTGAGAAACAAATTTTGTTCAACATTTTGGGGGACTTTTTCCTCATTTTTGATCAACAAGAGAACCAATTAAGTACCGTATGTACTCAAGTACCATGCGCCCTTGAGTAAGGCACGCACAGGGGTTTTTCAGTTGGAAATTTGGCTAAAATCTTATAATCAAGTAAGATGCGCACCCCAATTTTTGTGAATCTAAAACCACAAAATTTCAAAAATAAATTCAGAAAAATTGACTTCAGACATGAATTGAACAAAAATTGGATCAATTTTCAACTTTTTCAGCACAAAAAAGTTTTTCTTGTTACATTTGTTCAAAATTCTCCATTATAATTAAGTATAATGCACACATAACTTCCTAAAACTTCTTGAAAAACTTGTACCCGCTTATGACGCGCACCCCTTTTTTTCTTTTGAAATTTTGAGAAAAAAGGTGTGCGTGGTACTCGAGTAAATAGGGTATGTTACCATTGAAGCCTGAGGGAGAACGTGATCCAACATGTGTACATTTCAACATATGGACAGTTTGTAAGCACCAATTGTGTTCGCGTATTGTGCCCCGCATTAGTTGACACAGTATTTGTCTTTTTTGTGGGTTTGTTTCACTGAAATATGTCATGTTCTAGGGGTCTAGGCTCCTGAGATTTATTTGCTGTTCAATAGATGTCACCCTAATCATTTTCTGGGTTTCTTTGTCTAATTTAGAAGAAGCTGTATTGAATTACAGTATGTTTGTTTTTGTGTGATAAATTCTGCGAAAATTTGAATTAACCAGGCGAAATGTCAGAGAGAATAAGAAAAACGACGTTTTGAGTTTTGGCTGTGTGATTTTAGCTTTGAGTCCAAAATTGTCTTGGTTGTTTTTGTTGCTCTTTTTTTGTAAAAATGGAATGTCTCATTAACTTTTTTTTTCTTGCCACAGTGCTGTATGAAGGACATTCCGGAGAGCAACTGGCTCCAGCAGTGGACAGCACTGGCCCGCAGCTTTGCCCTGCGCTACAACCCGGCCCTGCAACCCAGGGCCCTCATCGTATTCGGCTGCATTTCCAAATCCGCGTCGGACACGGACGTGAAGCAGCTTTTGCGGATCCTGTTGAAGGCCCTCGAGAGCTTCTCGGACATCACTTTGATCGAGGCGATCGTCATGTGTTTGACTCGGCTCCAGCCCTTGTTGAGACGGGATTCGCCGATCCACAGGGCCCTGTTTTGGGTTGCCTTGTCCGTGTTGCAGTTGGACGAGGTGTCGTTGTATTCGGCTGGACTCGCTTTGTTGGAGATGAATCTCCACACGCTGGACACGCTGGGAGCCTTTTACCGAGTGGTGATTTTCATTCAACATTTGATTTAAATTTTGAAGAAAGAAAAAATATATCATAGTTGAAGAGTACAGTCTAACCTTGATAACTGGAACCTTTCTTCGTTTGAATTTGTTTTCAATGTCCCTCTCTGAATCCCTTCCGAAAAAATGCACGAAAAACCTCCATAAGTCGAATTTTCTGGAGGTCTTTTGGCTAAAATTTTATTGACAGAG